CACAGCTTTTTCCATATTTTCTGGATAACTCTTCAATTTTATTTCATACTAGCGACTCACTCATTGATTCCTCATACAAAGTTTCATCCCCATTTTTATTCCTTTAAGGGATGATTTCTGGAATAAAAACTATCTTATGTCCTTCCCAGGGTCTCAAACTATCTTCTTACCAAATTTCATCTAAATCGGTCCGGTAGTACAAAATTAAACATTTAAAAAAAATACTTGCTTCATTCAAGCTATTCTCAAGGGATGCGCTTACCGAAGAACAGCATTTCATTTTTATTTATATAGATACCTTACAAAATATCCCTCCCATATATTAAGTTATACGTACCATGTAACTGACAGGTATACCCTTAGGCTATATCTGTCAGTTCGTTAAACATTATTTCCAATGGTTTTTTTTTGTTATTTGCATATTTATAAAACGTGGTAGACATTGGCTTGTGAATTGCTCTGACTAGATCAGAAATAATGTATGTATAACTAGCGGCGCTTCGCTCGGGTTCATCGCTAGGTACGTTTAAATAGATATAAATAGTTATTAGCCAACGTTAGCCATATATTTTTTTTTTTGTTAATAATATTGACAAATATTGACATTAATATTTATACAATTCTAACGTCACTCAATTGTTTGCCTTCCTGGAACCTCTCCACTAACACTTAAACTTTATGGTATGGTATTAGTTCAATTTGACTTTTAAGTATTATTACGAATATTTTTGTATGGGAGTATATAAAAGTGTTGTTTTTAGACTTTTTCAGGCAATTTTTTAAATTTTTCTCTCCGTAAGAACCATCCTCGTACTTCAAGGAATATTTTAAAAAAAGAATTAGCGAAATCGATTCAGCTGCTCTCGAGATTTGCGCTTACCAACACATTAAGCTATTCATTATTATATTATAGAAGGTGTATATATGTATGTATTTTGTACAAATAAAATTGAAACACTGTTCTTTAGTAAGCAGGTACATCACTTGAGACCGGGTGGACCAATATTGCTATTTTTTTATGTTCAAAGTTCGAAAAAGGCTTTTAGGGAATAATATTTAAAAGTTCCCGACCCGGAAAGGCATTGGAAATTGAGTAATTCGGGACAAACTGAAAGTCCTTTTTTTAATTTTCTTGTATGAACTCAGAACGGCTTAAATAAGATAATATTCTATAAAATTATATATTTAAGTATCACGCGATCAGTATGTTTAGTTGCCATACTCTTTGTTTTCTATTAGCAATATAGATAGTAGAAAGTCACTTGTCTTTGAGGGCTAGTTTTTTTTCTAACAAAAAGATTGCGGAGATCCATATTTTTTAACCTTTGGATCTACTTGATCAAATAAAACCTATTTAATTTTAATTCATAGACATACAACACATTAAAAAAAATCTCATTGAACATCTTCCAACTGTTACTTTGGCAAGAACAATTAAACGAAAAGACATAATTCGAAAAAAATACAGTGACGTATTTAAAAAAAATAATTTCACCATTTACTAATATTATGTAGGCATAATACTATTTATTACCGATATATATTATTTATTTATTATAGCAACAATTTGTACTAATTAAAAAAAAAACAGAATATTCTCAAGTACTCTAACATAAATGAAATTATCATTCAAAAGCTCTTTAACGTGAAGTGAAATAAAATGTACGTTAGAACATTCAATTAGAATTACCTACTTCAAGTGGATAAAGGATTAATTTTCCAATGAGCAAAGTATTTACTAGTATCAAGTCTACTTTAAAGTATTAAAACAAGTTTAACTATAAAATGAATGTATGATATATTAGCTAGATACTTACCCTAGATTCCCTAGGGTTCTTGCTTTGGTCCCTAATAATACCCTATGGGCTGTGTGTCCGTTGGTGCCTACTAGTACCCTATGGGCTGTGTGTCCATTGGTGCCTAATAGTATCCTATGTCCCTTGTCCCTAATAGTACTCCAGGGCATAGTCTATCTGTGTATTAAATTTTATCTATACCTTCCCAGCTGTTTCAGTGTAAAGAAGAAACAAACTTACACATATAAACATACAATTTCTACCCTAATTACCCGACTGCGGCGAATGCCAAAGGTGGGTTATGTGTTTGACCTGTATGTATGTCGATCCTATGTTCCCTCGTAACATCAACAACGTCGACGAATGAACATAGTATTACGAAGTCTGAGACATACAAATGTAAATTTTTTAGAATAGTTGCGTGTGTGTATTTTTTACTAATATTTTAAATGTGAAACTGTTTGTTTATTTTTCTTTCTATGTAGCAATAAATTAAATTTCTTGACCGACTTAAAAAAGGCAAAGATACTTAATAAGTCTGTATTTTTGAGAGTATGCTTCAATATAATGCCAATTGTGTATCGATACTTATAATTCTTATTTTAATTAATACTAGCGACTCAACTCGCTCCGCTTCGGGTTTTTCTCTTGACAAGAACAAATCTATCCCAATCCCACGGGAACCGTGCATTTTTCCGGGATAAAAATTAGCCTATATTCTACTCCTGCCTATAATCTATCTCTGTGCCAAATTTCATCTAGATCCGTTCAGCCAGTTACCAATTTGTTAGGGATGTTTACGCAAATTGAGATTAAATATAACCCGCGACCACTCTCTTACCAAGTAATATGACTACCACTACACCATATGCTCTAGTTCAATAAAACCGCCACTTTAAATTCGCACTTTGAAATAGTGAACTAACCAACTACTCCACTATGAATATATATAATTATATACATTAATCGTGCTGGAATGAATTGATAGTATAAGATATTTACGATGCAATCGCTAACCGGATACAATAATAATGTAATGTAATTTATGAACAAATGCTTACTTTGTTATGGCTGTTTTATATTTACGTTTGATCTTTTCTGTGACTTAAAAAATTTTGCTGTTATAATATATGAGAGCTTTAACTCAGTGATAACCCGCTCGCTTGGAAGACCAAGGGAAGCGGGTTGAAAGTCAAATGGATCCCGTAATTCTGATATTTTCATGTTTCCAACCTGATACCAATAAATCTACACCGAAGGAATTATGACGAAACCTGTATGTCTGAGAGAACCTAATCAGTTTTTAATGTGTGAACTGTGAAGTCCACTAACCCGCGCTTGGCCAGCGTGATGGTCTACAGACTTCGCATTGAAGGGAGGCCGGTGCCAAACAGTTAAAAAAAAAAGACTGAATGAGATGAAAGCTCTATGTAGAGCAGGCGAAAATTAGCATTTTCTTATGTGTATTATAGACATATCAAACCAATATAGAGTTAACTTGTTTGTTACCTTTTAACACCTAAATGTCTAAACCAATAGTGATGAAATTTGACAATTTCGTACTTTAATTATATGTATACAGTAAGGACATTTCTTTCCCATTTCTTCTCACGACTGACGCTTTTGCTTTATCACGGACTTATGACGTTATGTAAGCTATTGTAATAATTTAATTCTGAATTAAAAAAACGTATTAAATCCCACGGGATAAATGAAATCTATGTCGATTGGGTTTTTGGGATGGTTACTGAAATTGTAGTTGATGTGCGAGAAAAGCAATGGCGAATAGCTAGTATAACAAATATATTAATAAGCATTCACTTTGTAAAGTATTAACAGCAAATATTGGTTCTGCACTTCATTTTAATTGGTTTATTCCACACTTTTCTTCAACTGACAGCGCTTAAATTTTCGTTTTTTTTTCGAATTATTATTTTTTTTGTTTTTTTTTTTGTGAGAGTAAGGTCTACTAGCAACAAAATTTAAATAAAACTATCTTTTCGCTTTTTTAAGCGGATTTATTTAGATTTTTGGTTCCTGGCGTTCGAATGCTTTACACCATTCATGGTAGTAGACTTTACTCTCACAAAAATAACTAATTAAAAAAATAGATAGATGAACTATCTATTAAAATTTCAAATATTCGCGTCAATTTAAGAAAATATCTCTATATAGTAGCATATTATAATTAATAAATAATGAAAGCGTTGTTTTTCATTATCATTATTATTATTTCAAAGCTTCAAAAATACTATTGAAAAAGGTTTTATAGTTTAAACCTACATATATTAACATAGCTAATTTAAAAAAAAATATGTAATATAATTAGTCTAAACATAGTTATTTTTACATAAAAAGTATTTTAATTATAGTTTTACTATGTTATTATCATTAACAAGATAAGCTTCTAATTAAAGCGTGATTTTATCTAGCAACATTAATAAAATCAAAATTAAAAAGTTTGTGAGGATGTATGGATATCTGGATGTATAGATGTATGGATGTTTGTTACTCTTTCACGTAAAAACTACTAAATGAATTTTAACTAAACTTTATAATAATATAGCTCTTACATCAGAATAACACATAGGCTACTTTTTATCCCGGCAAAGTATACGGTTCCCATGGGATTGATTTGTTTTTGTTTGCCTAGAGACGAACCCGAGCGAAGCGAGGTTGAGCCGCTAGTTAATTATATTTTCATTTAGCCTGTTTTATTTCCATGTCATATATTGTTTTTTTAAGTATTTTTCTATTAAATACAAAAGAAGAGTCCTGTATACACATATTATCATTATTCGCTTCAAGCTTTTGTGAGTGTTTATTGGTTTATTTGGTAATTTTAAACATATCGCGGAATTAGATAGGTTTCTTCAAGTAAGACCGCAAAGCTTCTCATAGATGAAAGACCATATAAAATTGACTATAAAAATAATCACAGAAAGCCGAGACTTAGAGTTAGTTTTAAAATAAATGTTATTAATATTCACATCACGTAAAAATCTTTGCGCAGATATCTATCTGCATTCATTATTTCTATCCTGTAATGTATGGGCGCCATTGTTATGCTAATAAGACATCTTATTTTCAAGGAAATATTTAAAAAAATATGCTTATGAATGAAACACTAACTAAATAATGTTTGAAAAATTATCGAATCGTATATACATATACCTATACAAGTAATATAAATAAAGAGACTTACTTGCCAAATAATGGATGCCATAAATGGAATGATGATGGGTCGTGAGGGTGTGGAGGCATGTGAGGTGTGGGCTCCCCCAACGGCGTGGTACTCCCGACCTCCGGTTCTTCTCGTCTTCTTCCCATAGCTGAAGTCGGAGTCGATGAAGTACGCCTCGAAGACACCCCCGAAGCAGCCGCAGCAGATGGCTCGAGCAAGTTGTGCAAAGATTTCACACTTATCCTCGGTCTCGGAGATTCTTGCGTCCTTTGATGATTTTCAGACTGCTTCACAGATTGTAGATAGTTGTTATTTTGATAGTACGGCGAGCTGGGGCTCTTTTGTTGAGGAGTTCGTGGCGATCGCTGATTGCCCATCATTTGCGGGTTGAAATAAGGTATTTGTAAACCAGGTAACGGCATATTTGGCCTCATATTTGTGTTCATCCCGGGATACATGCCCTGTAAGAACGGATTGTGCGACATCGGCCGCTGATTGTTGTAGTTGTGGGTGATCGGACTTGTTCTTGCTGCGGAATGAGGCTTGTTCTGATGGTTTTTCGTGGAATGTACATAAGGGTTTTGGACGTCGCTTGATTTAGAGAGCTCTTTCATTTGCTCCGAGACTGATTTAGATCGCTGTGACGACGAAGAAGCATTCGCATGCGACATGGCTTCTTGCCACATTGCAAACTGTAATCTAGTATCGTAATCCATCGGCTGCATCATAGGAAATCCTCCAGGGCCCATAAAACGAGAAGAAGGATTGAACATTTGAGAGAGATCAGGATAATTTTGGCCTGAATAACCTGACGAATTTAAAGCTTTTAAGAAGTCCATATTTTGTGAACAAGCGGCCATCGCTTCCAACTGATTTAGGTATGGTAACCATAGCATTTGATTCAAAGCTGCTGACGTAGCTGCGTCAATATCCCCGGCTAGAGCGTCCATTGAAGGAATTGGCTTAGGCTGACTAGTTTGATCAGGATGTGAGGTATTTGCTTGCTCTTTGCTTGTGGAGTTTGTCGGCTTAGAAGACGAGGAAGGCTTTGTTTCTTTTTCTTTTTGATTTGAAGAACTTGGCGGTGGCGTCAAAAACGGTTGCTGTAGCTCCTCGTCTATTAAGATTCTTTCGAGCTGCGCCAAGGATATCAGAATAATATCTGGATCTTGTAATATAGCTGGAAACGCAAAAGCTTCTGGAAGTCTGAGTTCGGGCCTTTGTATAAGTAAGGCCGGTATTTTAGTACCGGGGTTAGCTAAGATTTCTTTTATTTTGTCCTTAGGAATTAATAATGGATCTGGAATGTTAAAGTCTGGATTTGATTTTAAAATATGAAATTGTTTTACAGGATTCATTTCCTCACAAGGTTTACTGACATGTTTGTCTGATTTTTTCGATAACTGTTCTTCACTATACTTATTAAAAACTTTACTTATTTTTGCTAATTCCTCCGTTGATTCACGTCGTAGTCTCTTCTCTTGAGGTTCACCAAATTCTTTGTTTAATTTCCTGATTTCATCGGAACAACTAGACACAGTTGGACTTGCTGATTTTCTATGTTTGCCCAAATTTAACGGTTCACATTGCTGTTTAGTTATTGTTACTTCAGATGTATACATTTTCGGAGAAGGTGAAGAAAGTAAAGTCTCCAAAAAGAGGGTTTGTTTACTTTTTGTTAACGGCATAGTGAATATTTCAGGCGATGATGGTACAGCAGGAATTCCACTAGGTTGTGGAGATTGCATTGCATCCGACTCTCGTGATGGTGCTCGCGGCACGTCAGTCCTTCTCGGCGACGCATGAGGTGTAGGTTGACGTCTATGAACTGTTAAGTCTCTAGGTTGCTCGTCGCTTCTATCAGATGAATTATCTTCAAGGTTAGATGTATCAATGTCATTCGCATGCACTATAGGAGGATTTTCGACATTCTTTATACTCAAATCAGTTGGAATTAGTTCTTCATTAGCTATTAATTCATCGGGATCTTTAATAAACTCATCATGACTGTTTTGCATAGGCTCTGGCATTTCTTGATCAACTTCTTCCTCCTTTATGTTATCATTAAGCGCATCTTCTGTTTTATCGTCAATATTTTCACAATTTTGTGCGCAAACATTTAATGACGAGTCTTCATTAGGTCTTTCAGTCAATGTATTGATTTCACTCTGATCAGGCAGCTGGGCTTGTGACTCAATGAACGCCTTACTTGGAGTAAAATGCTCAATTGAATCAGATACTGGTTCCGTATACAGTTCATCAGAAACACCAACATCATTCTCTAGCCTCTTTTCGACATTTTCTTCATACTCCACGTGATTAATTTCATTTACTTCTTGTAATCCAGTAGCCGCCGTCAAAGTTTCCATAGCACATTGCTGTGTATCCTGTGGCACAAATACTTCATCAGACATGTAGGTCTGCTCCACATCTTGCCCGTGGTCTGCTTGAGTAAGATGATCTCCTATGTGATGTAAATGTAGCAGACCTTGTGCAGCCGTAATACTGCTTTGCCCTGGCGATTCGAGTGTTTGTTCAAGTCGATTTATGATGTCAGAGACAGGTTCATTACTTAAGAGCATATGCTCGTCTTCTTCCGTATACTCGCCAGATCCATGAACCAGGTGCGCGAGTTTGTCAAGCGCTTGGCCCAATATTTGATTATCTTCGCAGCCCTTTTCCACTAAGGACTCTAGTAACGCTTCGTCATGGGGTCCTCCTAGTTCCGGAAGGTAATGTGCTTCACTTATAGTCTCAAAGAGATCCTTGTGCGATCCCATCTCACCTGTGTACTCCTCAGGGCGATCGGGTGGCGCTTTCCGTTCGAAGTACATAGACTCCTCGGCCTGTTTTGTATCACCAAGTTCGAACGACATAACGTCGCGAGCAACTTCTTCCGCTGGTAAGAAGGGATAGGAAGCTGGACTCTCCAGATCTAGAAGACGTTCACCGCGTTGCTGATTGAACTCCAGTTCTGCTACCGCGAGAAGGTTGTCGAGCGGCGTCGGTTCCGACGGCTGCAGAGGCCGCGGTACCGCGATGGTGTGCGATGGTATATGGGACTCCAGGTCGGGCTGCAGCCACACAGGGGGTAGAGCCGGAGCTGATGGCGTAGGGCGCTCAGGAGCAACCGCGGGAGACGCGGCAGAGCGGGCGCGGCGTGAGCGGTTGCAGCGTCTGCGCCGGCGACGGTCGCGCGGACGACGGCGAGCGGGTGCCGGGGGCGGGGGCACGCGAATCGAGTTGTAGATCTCGGTGCGCGGGATGACACGCCAGCCGGATGGGGTGCGCGCTATACGAATACGATTCCGCGCGTCGTAGTCCTCGCAACGGACCTCCTGCACGGTGCCTTCGAGCTGGCGCGCCCAGAGGAACACAGGTCGCAGTCGCGGGAGCGGGGAGGAGGGCGACAGCGCGGGCGCGGCGCTGCGCGCACGGCGCCGGGGCGGTTCGAGGGAGGCGCGGGACGGGGGAGCGCTGTGGCCGCGCGCGGCATCGAGGCGGGCGGCGCGAGGCTCGCCGCCGCCGCCGGGAGCCCGCGGAGACACTCCGGGCGCCGCACGACACTCTCAGGCGACGACCGCGCGGACGCGGCCCCGAGGCGGACTGGCGGCCGGCGCGCCCCGCCCCGCGCCCCGCGCGCCGCCCCGCCCCGCCCCGCCCAGCATCGATCCGCGCCGCCTGCACGCCCTGCACCCGCACGTAAACACGCCGCCCGCCCCGCGCCGCCCGCGCCCCGCTGCGCTGCGTGCCCTCGTTAATCTTAAATCCATATCTGTGCGCCGCGGCGCCGGTCGCAGCGAGCCGACCCGGACGGACCTCTGAGTCCTTTCACCGGACGTAGCTATATATTTTTTTATCTTTTTTACATGCATATTAAAGGGTCGTATTTCTAAATGAATACAATTAGTTCCATGGCGAAACCTAAATGATTTCTTTACAAAACAGTTCTCGGCATTCAATAAACCGTAACAATGGAGCGTATCTTAGATCGTTACCGCGCGTCAGTCGCACACTCGAGTTGCGGTGTTCCGTCTGCCGGAACCGCAAGGCAGAGGGTAATTGGCTCCGGTAACGATCTCTAATCCGGGGGCATCGGACCTCAGTCTGCGCTTTGCGGTCAAACGACAATTTAATTCAAGGCGTATGACAATGCCTGCTGACAGGCTTAATTTTGTATTAAACTATGAATGTTATCACATAGGAAATATATACACAATATTATATAGCTAAACAACTACGAGTATATGTAACAATATGTTTCATTTAAAGCCATACTTTTAAATAGTGAGCAAGCAATACTGAAATGAAATTGAAAGTAAGTTCAAAATACAGGAAAATCATGAATGAACTTTTTAAAAATAATTATTTTAGTTCGTTATGTAAATCATAGATGGCATTAAAAACACTACACAAACTATTTTCATTATAAGTACAAGATAGTTCGACTACTCATTCATAGGTGGCATTGATAACTTATACTGAACAAATATAAATGACAATATTACACTAATCTATACTAATATTATAAAGAGGCAGAATTTGTGTGTTTGTTTGAACGTGCTAATCTCAGGAATTACCAATCCGATTTGAAAAATTCTTTTTGCATCAGATAGCCTGTTTATTAAGGAAGACTCTCGAACAAGCGAGGGTAAGCCGCTAGTATATACATATAAATAATTTTCTATTCTTTTTATTGTTCTAGATTACTCTTGTACACGTTAAAACTAAATAAAATTACCGCTCTCTAAATAAAAAACTCGCTGGCAGAATGTATTGCGCCAATTGTGCAAACATAATTTATTAAAGGAAAAAAAATCTAGATGGCTCTAATATACTTTTTTTTAAATAAAATTTCCCAAATAAAAATTGCACTTGTAATATTTTTTTCATTTTTATGCTATTTCTTCTTGAAAAGTAAATTTCCGACATATTCATCAAGGCTTTAAATAAAAGACATTTTATTACATTTCAACACTTTATTCTCCTTCGACATTTACTGACGTCACATATTATTTTACAATCTAACATACATATAATAAAATTCTGCTTCGAATCTATATATTAAATATTTTTTGGAAAATCTTATTGAAATTGTCATTATTATCAATACAGAGGCCAAATCTATAGTTTTTAGAATTTTTGTCTGTCTGTATGGCTATCTGGGAACGCATCACGAGAAAACCACTTGACAGATTTTGATGAAATTTGGTATGATGATAGCTGGTTATCCAGGTCAATATATAGGATACTTTTTACTGCAGGAAAATATCTTATATCTGAGAAATCTATACTAAACTTTAATATATTATTATTATAATACTTTCTTAGATTTACGCGAATATTTGACATTTTAAATAAAACTATCTTTTCGGATTTTGTCGCGGATTTATTTGGATTTTTGTTTCCCGACGTTTCGAATGCTTTACAGCATCCATGGTCACGGGAGAGACTCTCCCGTGACCATGGATGCTGTAAAGCATTCGAAACGTCGGGAAACAAAAATCCAAATAAATCCGCGACAAAATCCGAAAAGATAGTTTTATTTAAAATATTATTATTATGTTTAATAATATCAATAATATTAATTTTATAAATTAAATTGGGAATGTTATCCTTATTTTATTATGTTAAATGCGAAATAATATTTGTTTAGAAGGGACTACCTTCTCCCACGAAACACCGAATCACTTTTTATTTTGCATAGATCAAATTTAACTGTTATATAATATAAATATTATATATTTAATCATCTATAGTAATTACTAGACTAAAGAATTATATAGCAGCCCGCCAAAAAAAATGTCAAAGTCAAAAATAGTAGCGTGATTTGCTGTTTAAGCTACTATTCTCGATGTTGCCATACATATTGTTTACTTTCTTTAAAGAATAAGGGAAATTTTATATACATATTAGTTGTTAATTTACAATTCAAATAATACCATATACTTTTGTATTTAAAACATTAGTCTCGTCCATTTGAAAGAGATATTAATATATTATTATTTTTATCTTCATCAGAATAAAATTCTAAGCAAATATATACAGCAGAAAAGTTTGTTAGTTTGAGCATAATTCTAAGAACAATAAGTCCGTTTTAAGAAATTCTTTTTACATTGTGAATATTAACTAAGTATAAGCTATTATATCTGACTTTGACATAATACTTTGTTAGATTCACGCGAATATTTTACATTTTCAATAAAAGACACAGATATAGAGATAAAACTATCTTTTCGTTTTTTTTCGCGGGTTTATTTTGATTTTTGGGTTCCGACGTTTCGAATTTCGTCTCTCGTGTGACCATTATTGATGTAAAAAATTCGAAACGTCGGAAACAAAAAATCTAATTAAATCGGCGAAAAAATTCGAAAAGATAATTTTATTTAAAATCACTCTGACATTTAAATGCAGAGTAATCCATACTTATATAAAAAAAGAGCAAGAAACTTTGTCTATCTGTCTGTTGCACATCTAAATGACTGAACCAATTTGGATGAATTTTGGTATAAAGATAGATTGGTCATTGGAGATGGGCAAGGGCAAGCTTTGTCGAAAAATAAAATTTAAAGGTGACAAAATAGGGTATAATAATTGTCTGAAGAACCCATCATTTCACAAGATCAAGCATCCGAATCCATCACATATCTAGTTAATAATTTTATTATAATTTATAATAATTAAATATTTCTATTCATAAAATAAACATTATTACATATGTTTCTTTATAATTCTTCTTTCAACTTTGAAATTGTACTTATGTAAATTCTTCAACAGGTACAAGGAGCCGACTACAATGACTACAGATGTGCCCCAAGCCACTAGATAATAGTGATCTGTATTACCAATTGGGACTTCCCAGATTATTGTATCGGTTACCTGAAAAGAAAATTCCATAAAAACATGGATCGTGTCAAGTGGATATAAGCAGGCTTGCTTTTATCTACACAATGATTTACATTGAGTAAAACAAAAAAATTACTTATAAAATATGAAATTTATCATTTTCATGTAAAAATTGTTACATAATAACAATAAATTAGTAAGCTAATCTATACTAATATTATTAAAAGGCAGAAATTGTTTGTTTGTTTGTTTGAACGTGCTAATTGCAGGAACTACTAATTCGATTTAAAAACTCTTTTTGCATTAGATAGCCTATTTATATATAATAGTAAGGCTATAGGCTATATATCATATAATATATTGTCTATCTATTTCATACTAACCGTTAAAACGTACCTAGGGACGAACCCGTGTATACGAGGTTAAGTTGCTAGTATGAAAAATAAAAGAGACATTCGTGCTCTGCCACTGAAAGCGAGCGACTTCACATTTATTTTTCATATCCTTACTTTCTTTGTAGTAAATATACAGGAGAACCCACATTCAAAAGCTAGTATAAAAAGAATTACCATTATAGCAGGTATGAGTTTCCAATCACAGAGTTCTTTTGGAACATGTTTTTTACAAAAAGTATTTACTGAGGTTTGCGGAGGCAAATATTTATTGCATACATTCAGCTTGTTGTCTGGACATTTTAGATATAACTTCGGCGGAGGTATTTCATTTTTAGCTGTTCTGAAATGATAAAAAAATACATTTAAAAATGCCTATAAGTATTATATTTTAAATTAATAAAGTATAAGTGCTATATAAAATAAAATAAGTATAAATTAAAAAAAAGTCATCATATTTTATATTATCATCATGGTAATATATCAATCATCGTACTAATATTATAAACTAGTGGCTCACCCTTGCTTCGCTCGGGTTCGCTTCTAGAGAATCAAGTCTGTGACGTGAGAATCTCATGAGAAGAAAAAAAAAAACCTCGTAGTCACTTATATATCTACTATCATGTCACAGAGAAAAATAAATTTAAAAGCTTTATAAGATTATATAAAACTATCTTTTCGAATTATTTCGCGGATTTATTTTGATTTTTGGTTCCCGACGTTTCGAATGCTTTACAGCATCCATGGTCACGGGAGAGATGTAATGTAATTGGTGCGATTTTCATTTTGTTAATTGTGGGTAGGCTGTCTGTAACAACTATACCTCCAAGACATGTAACACCTCAGTCTCTCCCGTGACCATGGATGCTGTAAAACATTCGAAACGTCGGGAACCAAAAATCAAAATATATCCGCGAAATAATCCGAAAAGATAGTTTTATTTAAAAATGTCAAACATTCGCGTAAATCTAAGAAAGTATTACTTTATAAGATTACACAAATTAACAAACAAAAGTGATTGTTCCAAAGAATGTACACTTATATTTTTGTTATTTTAGAAAAGTTATAGGTCATAAAATAAAAATATGAGCAAGAATCGAGTATTTAGGTGATATTATCTCCAAAACAACTAATATTATACTTTATATGAAAAATGTGCACTGCAATTATGTATGTCCACATGAGTTAAAAACCTTTTTTGTTTCTTTTTTTTTTTGGACTTTTTGTACGAGTTTATAACTTTTTGCTTTTGATTGTTATTGTTGTTACTAAATACAATTATTTCATAATAGTTTGTAAGTCTGTGTTGCAATAAAAAGGACTAGCAACTCACTCTCCCTTCGGTTTGGGTTCGTCCCTAGACAAAAACAAACCTATCCCACGGGAACCATATATTTATCCGGGACAAAATGCCTATGTGCTATTCCAGACTATAATCTATCTCTGTGTCAAATTTCATCCAAATCCGTTCAGCCGTCCTGGCGTGAAGAGTAACAAACATCCACCCATCCTCACAAACTTTTACATTTATAATATTAGTATGTATGTTGTGGCACTTTAAAATGTTAAACATATTACTTATATTATATATACAGTATTAAATTTTTAGATAAGAAATGATGTATTAACCACTGTGTCCATAAAAAAAAAATAAAGTACTCACCCGCCACCTCTGCTAGCTTGATGATATCTGGCATGAACTGGTATATGGAATTGTGTTTTACTATTTTTGACTTTACTAAACATTTGCATCACAATTGGACTAGCATCTTTGGCTGGCAATTCTATGTTTACTGGCGTTATGAAGACTGTTTCAACCTATAATGTTTGCAAAAAGGTATTAGTGTAGTTAATTAAAACACTTTATGATTATTTTCTACTAGATATATTTTAACGTTTAGTATGGAATAGATAACTTTATTATATATATTTATATACATAGGTATGATGAGTTGTTGTGGGTTTTATTATAATGTGTTTTCCCATAGGAATGAGATAATCTCCCATGCTCAGAAGTAGCCTATGTCGCTCTCCAGTCCAACTATCTCCACACAAAAAAATCACACCAATCCACACTCTGTTTCAACATAAAAGGACACAAAACAAACAAACATTCACACTTGTAATTGTAATTTGTGATTGGCAGAAAACTAAAAATTAGTACTATAAATATATATTATAATATAATTTTTTAAGAAATTAATTAAAATTCTAAGAAATCTGTTGTTAACTGACACACCGGCATGTCCGCGGTCATGGAGGGATTAACTAATCTTGTCTATTCTTTTTTTTTAACAAAAGAGATTGTATTAAAAAAATATGTCAATTTTACTTACATATTTTTAAATTAAATAAATTTTATATCAAACTACTTACTAAATTTCTACAACCATGGTCTCTCATTTCATCTTCACTAGCATATACTCCCGAAGGTAAAGTCTGTTCCAGACCGACTGAACAGTCTCTGTATAACCAATTTTCTTCTTCATCATCACTTGCAAAGTCTATGTAATAACTTAGGTTCCTGTAATTTAATAATTGTAATAATGTTAAATGTCAAGTAAAAATAAAACTTAATATGTAGCATTTCTTGGTTTAAAAGGAAAAAAAATGTATTTAATCTGTTTATACAATTTATTTATATAATATATATTTTCTTTTCTTTAATATTTTTAATAATTGAAGGCAGAACATCAGTACAAAGTTATAAGATTTATCTATTTATGAGCCATAAAAAATATTTAACTAAATAAAGAGTAAATTATATCGATAAATTTCTCGTATTTAAAGGTTTTCTATGTGAAACCGTTTTGATTATAAAAGAATAGAAACTCACCTGTGAAATCCTTCATTACGAAGTTTTTGTCCAATTTTAACGTTAAAATTACAGGTTTGACCATGTACTCCATACAAGATCATTGAATAGAATAAAATTTGGTAGATCATTTTCAAATTTCGTTAAAAAAATACTTATTACTTAAGTATTAATTTATTTATATACTATAATAATAAAATTTAAATACAAATCACGATTTTAAGATAGGTTAGAGTAAGTCTGGTAAGCATTTTTATTCTTTTATTTGACTTATCACTTGATATAATGAAGAAAAGAACTGATAACTTTTCATTTATCGGTTTAGGTTTAGGTACTGTTTTACAAATTACAATGTTTTGAGTTTTGACATTGACACTGACAATCGACCAAGTGGTGCGTTTCATTTTGAGATTATACGTTTTATGTTAAAATATTCATAATAATAACTCTTTTGAAACTTTTTTAGTTACATATAATTGATTATTATTTAATAAAATTTATTTCAATTGTACATTTCGCCATTAGTAATGATTTATAATATTATACTTAAACCTTATTATACGTACATATAACTATGACTTTTATGTTTCTTTTTACGGTACCTAAAATAACAAAGGACCAACTGTAACATACATACATAACTCTTTATCTATAAGAAGTAGTCTGTCTCTGTGCGACATTTAAAAAGTATCGGTAAATAAATTAAAAAACATAAGTAATTATTATTGTACACCATTACCCAGGTATAAAACAGAATATATAAAAAGACACATACAAAAATTAAATTACAGAAATAAAAATACTGCGATGCAGATGCCATAAAAAGTAAAATAAAAAGATGGAAACAAATTAACATATTTTATTTTTTATAGTACCTACATAATATTATGCAGTCGCAGATATAAATGTAGCAAGTCTAGCACCAAGTATAAAACAGTCGTCATATTAAATCGTCGGCAATCTCTAGGCCTCGCTTCCTTGCTCTAAGCAACCTTAGAGTAGAGGAAAAACAAAAAAGAAAAAAGAGAAAATATTATTATGTACATATTATGTCTAAAAATATATAATACTAGCATTGCCCGCGGCTCCGCCCGCGTTCAGATGACCAAAAACTAAATTCTTAGGTGTTACATATTAGTATACTCTTACATTGCAGTTTTTGTATTTTTCCTCAGAAATAAGATATTTTCCCGCGGTAAAAAGTATCCTAGGATCGCGCGCTACATCGCCCGGTTTATATAGCTTGAGCAGGCGGTCGAGCGATGCGGGGCAGAGGGGATGGACTCGCCGTAGGCATCTCAATGCTCGCCAAGCATTAAAAATGTTTCGCTACTAATTACTTCTAACAACGATATCTCAAAAACTATTCATCTGATTGATTTAGTGTAAAGAGCAATTTTAATCTGCATTAAATGACTAAGCTAACTAAAATATTCATTTGGATAAGGATTAATACCGAACTAAAGAAAATAACTTTGAAAATAACGTAATGTTTTTAATTAAAAATGTTAACATAAAAGTGGTTATTGTAAGTCAACCGTAAGAGATAGAGATATGCTATCGCGGACTTTTTTGTAGCATTTTTATAGATTTTGAATTCTCTAGTACATTACTTAACTGTATCTTTGCTAGTTTACGCGGCGTTCGCGTGGAAAGTTCCCATTTGGCGAGATTTTTTGCGACCTCTTCAACATTTGTCGCCGTATTTCAGCTAATTTACATAAAAGCATAATAAATTATATACCTAAACCTTCCTCAAGAATTACTCTTTCTATTGTTGAAAACCGTATAAAAATCCGTTCAGTAGTTTTCGAGTTTATCGCGTACAGACAGACAGGAGGACAGAAAGACGCGGCCGGGGGACTTATTTTTATAATAAGTATAGATTAACGACTCACTCTCGCTTCGCTCGAGTTCGTCCTGATCGTTTTAACGGTTAGTAATAGATTTCCCAGAGGTGAGATATTGTCCCACATAAAAGTATTCTATATGTTGATTCGGATTACCAGCTATCATCTTAACAAATTTCATCAAAATCTGCCCAGCGGCTATCTCGTAATGCGATCTCAGACAGACAGACTGACAAAAATTCTAAAAATTATAAATTCGGCCTCTGTATCGATAATAATGACTATTTCAATAAGATTTTCAATTAGTCTGTAGTTGTTCGATATTCAACAATTAGCTATTTCATTTAAAATAAGAACGGGTAAGTTTTAATAAATAATTAATTATTAAAGATTTAAGTATGTAGCATTTTCAATTTGAAATAATTAAGTAAAGTGAATTTTAAATATTGTGTTATGTATGCATCCATACTTAAATTACCTGTTCGGTGTTCCTATTCTGAATACATTGTTCACATTTTGTCCATTTTCAAAATATTTACTTCTAAGATTTTTCGGCGATTGATCTTGTGTCCAAAGCGATTTGGTTCACACCACTGCACTGCATTTGAAAGAAACATTTATACTTTTATACTCATCAAAAAATATTGAAATACTATTTGAATTTTAACATCCATTGAAATTGAATTGTAAACAGCCATAGCTGTACTGCTATAATGCAAAACTACTTTTTACACTAGCTACTTTTCATTGTGGGATAAGTAAAGATTTCTCGCGTAAATTGAGAATATATATTTTGACATTGTATGAGATTTAGTGCATGGGCTTCACTTCACTGCCAGATATAACGAGGGTAATTTTTTTTTTAATATTACAGTATATTTGAATTTATTATACCTAATTAAAATAAGTACAATGTTTATTATTCAAAAATATAGGTGCATTTTATTTTGTATGTAAACATACCGATCACGTCCAATTATTTTGCATTTTATAAGTGACATGCATAACCCACGGCTTTGCTCGCACTAAAACTACAAAACAAATCTAAATAAGTAGGTAGGTTTCATACAAACTTTTATCCCCTATTCATCCCCTATGTAAACCCCTTATCGGATGAATTTCGAAAATGCTAAAACACGTATTTATTCAATTGTTACATAGCATTAATACCAAGTTTCAAGTAATTCTGATCAAAAATATATTTTTGGGTTGTATTATAAGTTATAACGTGTTTTTCCCTAGATATGAGATAATCTCCGGCGGTAGAAAGTAACCTATGACACTCTCCAGCCCTCCAACTATCTCGACATAAAAAATCTCGCCAATGTGTTACTCTGTTTCGACGCGAAAGAAGGACAAACAAACAAACAGACACACTTTCACATTTTTAATATTAGTATGGATGTTTCAATGGCGAAATAATACATTCTTAATGCCAGATTGCAAAAAAAACTAATTATTATGATTAATTTGATTTTCCCATAATTGTAGTAGCTATAGGTATGAGGACAGGACGGCGAGTCCACCTTGAGTCATTGCCGTCATTGATGATGACGGAAGGAGAGTGCGGTAACAATTGTATTTAAACATCTGAGACAGTCCTATTCTAATAATTAAAATATTTTTTACAATCGCAAAAATGTTTCTAAACTCTGTATAACTTATTGAATTTAGTAATCATATTAGTTTTCCGCTGGAAATTGCTATAATTTCCTTTTAAATTTGTAGTTATGGTTCATTAAATAGTTATAAAATTAGGTAATAGATTTATAATATGTAGGTATACTTTAGGCACAAAGAGAGTGAAAGAAATGTATGCTTAGATCTTCTAAACTACGCAACGGATTTTAATGCAGTTTTCACTTTTATTCAGAATATTTATTTCGAATACTACGAAATTGTGTAACTTAAAACTATCTACAAGAAAAGTCCGCAGTGGCTTATGTCTATTTCTTACGGATTACCCACAGTAGCTATTTTTATGATTCAAATTTAAACTTTTTGTATTTTTTTTTATATATTAATAATACTTTATTTCATATAAAGTATTATTATTATATTAAAATAAGTGTAAACACTTTTTGAGAAATAAATTAATTCTCAAAAAATTTTTACACTTATAAATTAACACTTTTATCTTATTTTAGTTTTACATAATATTAATCGGATGCCTCTGTTGTTATACTTTCGAAGTTATTTTGACCAATATAATATTAATCCTTATCTAATTAAATAAGTTGGTTACGTTTCGCACTTGTTGTCGATAATAATTTCTCTTTACGCCAAATCATTATAATTAATATTTAAGAAGATATCACAGATCTAAAATTACCTAAAACTTCGATCTTCAAATTTACTGAATCGATTTAGATGAAATTTAGGAAGAAGATAGTTTGAGACCCTGGGATGGATATAGGATACTTTTTATCACGGAAATTATTCCTTAAAGCGGTGAAAATGGGAATGAAAGTTTGTATGAGGAATCAACCTAGGGACGAACCCGAGCGAAGCGACGGTGAGACTCTAGTCAATGATATATACTTACTTTATGTGAGAACAAAACAACGTCTGTGTTTTTAGTTAATGACACCATTGATTGAAAGAAAACAATATTTTATTATGATCATAAGTGATAAGCTTTTCTCTTTATTAAACGGTTAACAACAAAGACATTGTTTTGTACTATCACTAGTTCGGTGCGTTGATAAACGAAACAATGAAAGGTGTAGGATGACAATCTCTCAAACTGGTCATTTACTCATAAGCGTGAAAGTGTTTTTATTCATTTATTTCATTTTCACATAGACAACGAATCTAAATTATATTTTATTCTAATACTAATTCTGAGAGAATATTTTTATAATAAAAAAATACTAGCTGAGTGTTTAGTTCTCCTAACTTGAATAAATCACAAATGTTAAATTATAAATTACTTATACATATTTTAATTTGATTCAGTAATAAAATAATTTTTGGAAAATTAAAACAAATTTAAGGTAGGAAATTCTGATTTTAACAATTTAAAAATACGTTCTAAGTAATAAAATATTCTGTGTCTTAATCAGTTTCTGAAGAAAGATTTGCATAACTATCCAACTGAACAAGTATCTAACGTTGTAGACCGATATAGCCATAAGATGCATAGCTAACGATCTTAAACTTTGATACGAAAATGTTTTTTTTTATACTTTTACACGCTTATTTAAATGAAAAAAAAATATCTCCTTACGTAAAACAGCAATATCAAATAACATTTTCAATTCATTTCAATAATACCAATAACACTATATTAAATATTTTAATTCAAATGCCAATGTGACTGAACATTGTTTTCTTTTCCATAAATATAGTTATTTATTTAAAAAACATGAATGAAAATATCCATAACAGAATAAGCAAGCCGTTGTCGCCCCACAAAAACAACTGATCAGCAATCAAGAAGCCGGTTTAGTTCACGTCGACGCTTCCAAACGTTTGCTAGTGTGGTGTGTTATTCTGTGAACAACATAATAATTTCTTTCTCTTCATTTAGGATACTGTGAGTATTGCTAATTAAATATTATGAAAGTTAAATGCCAACTGTAACTTTAATATGCATACGTAATATTGAATAGGTAACTTCCACATTTTTGGACCTCCACTCTGTTTTATGTAGTGACTAGTGATATTTTTTTATTAGTTTTTTACTACTTGTTATTTCTTTAAAGTATAATAAAGATATTTTATTGATGAATGTAAAATACGTGACTATATTGTAGTTACTTTACAAAGTTGTACTATTAATTGTTGCCTATCAGAACTGGTGTCTCAAAACACGCTTTGATGCGCATGAGAGCATATTTGGTAAATTTTTAATTATATTTTCAGTTCCAATTTCAATTTTAACTGAATTATTGATATTTATGATTTATTTTATTTACATTCAGTGTTGCCATATGACCTGCACTTTCATATTGTTACGCTTTATGAAACGCAAATGTATTCATAATTGGTAGCGTTTCAATTAGTAATGGCTGTTGATATTTACATTATTCATATATTTGTTTGTTTATTACCTTTTATTTGTATCGACATATACGAAGAATTGATAACAATTATTGAAGTTCCGCGTCACATATTCTTTTGCGGAATCCTTAATATTTTCTGATTATTGAGAGTTCAGATGTTTACTTTCTCTCACCTATAATATTATTTTATTGTTCTTTCTTTTAATTTTATCTTCTTTTAGAAAAGGAAGAATGTGGATGATTATAATTTATTTACTTGCCATTTTACTTCTTTAATAAAATTATAAAAAAAATATGTACATTTGTAAAACCTGCATAAAAGATAAAGTTCTTAGCAATAAAAAATTATAAATACATTAACCTTGCAATTATCCTACTTAACACACTATAATGAACTGACCATAATATGTATCCATGAGCTATGAGTCATAGGCATATTTATTGCACTTAGTAGCTAATTAATATTAAAAAATAATTTTGTACATTCACAAGATTTAAATTTAGTTAAAATATGATGAAATTAAATAATTAGTAACTGCATATTATGTAATATTATATGTTTCCATTTATTATTAATTGGCCGATGAAAATATATCTTATCCTTTTAATTGAACGTTTAAAATATATGTATTTTGGAAAAAAATATATTTGTCATTTGACATAATATGCCAAATATAAATAAAATAAACAACGTACAACTCTGACCCCGTAGATAATATGATTCGTTTAGCTTTATATTATCACATGATGCTTATTTGAGCGTCTCTACAAATACAATAGACAAATAAAGTATTTCTATGTATTCAGTAGTCTAATTGAAAAAAAGTATATCTAAAACCATAGACATATAAAAAGTACCTATGTAGAAAAAATAATTTTTTTCAACAGAAAAAATATACGGACTTTTTTTTATTTATTTGGCATAATAATGTGGTCACCCTATCTTCCCTTTTAATTTAAAAAAATGTAATAAATATCTTTTTGTTATAATATATGCATAATAGAAATACCTAGTAAAAATAATTAATTATGATTATATAATTTATATAGCAATTTGAGAAGAAAAGATTTTTATTTTTTAATATATCGAAAATACTTATTATTCATACGTAAGTTTGCGAGCAGATAGATTTGAGTGACGTTCGGAATCAGCGTTGCCAGACGTCCCGATTTTAGCGGGATGTCCCGATTTTTTGCCCAAAATTAAATGTTCCGCGCAGTTCAGTCTCGTCGGCTGTAAGTTTAATGAAATCAGAATTACGCATATAATTCCCTCCAGAACTATCCTGTAGGGTCATCAACTATATAAAAAAAAAGAAAACTTTAAAAGAAGTTAAATCTTCACAGAAATATGAATAAGTGACTTCTATTAGTACTTAGTTATGTATTATAATAATATAATTTATAATTATATTTCTCTGAAGTCTCAACTGCCTAGTTACAGGGTAAGCCAGACAGTTATTATTATTAGTATAGTAAAGTAAGATATTTTTAATTTAAAATACATTTTCTATGGCTATTTTGATTATATTTCGTCATATAAAATTAATTTGAAACTCAAATAAAAGGATAAGTATATAAAAACTATTGATTCAATAGGTTTTTTAATATGTTCCGCTTTCGATGAAAGAATTCCACTTTTTTTTACTCAAAAGATTTTAAAATCCCGCTTTGTCCGAAAAAAAATTCTGGCAACGCTATTCGGAATGGACATTATATGTATGTATGTAGTTTTATCGCTTAACCGTAGTATTTAACTTATCCTTTACTCGTAAGCTGATTTTTGCCTATGACGTAAATGCATTCTCATAAAAATCTAACGTAGCCATAATCTATACTAATAAATGGAGAGCCGATTTTCTTGTTCGGTTATACTGCGATAACTACTGAACCGATCGGAATAATACTCATACCATAAGATGCAGCGTGTTTCGGAGAAGGTTTTAATATATGACATGTTGGTAATTAATTTACTATGCGGGCGGAGTCGCAGGAAAACGCTAGTATAAATATATGTAAATAATATGTATTGAAGTATGTTGGACCTCCAATGTCATTTTCGCGTGACAGACAAACGTTATGCAAATTACTATATAATAATAAAAGTAAACATAAATAATGTCTTGCATGTGACTAAATAAAATCATATTGATAATGCAAAATAGTAAGTCACGAGCAGGAATATCGTGTTGCGATATTTCTGTTACAAAGAGTGCACAAATAGATGATTAGATGTTCTTTATAAACATTTATTTTTCTAGTAAGAAAGATTTTACCTCTTACTCGCTTAACACCTCCAGGTAAATTGGGGAGTGGAGAGGAGAGAGGGTGGAGGGGGGGTGGTTGTTGGCTAGGTTGGACGAAACGCGTGCGAATTTAGGTATTTCCTTCGTATTATTAAAACAAACACACATTTTGAAAATGTAAAGTGTATACGTTATAGGAAACTTATAGATTTGTTATTCTTAAAAACCTGATGCACTTCCTTGAATTATTTACGCCGCACTTATTTACACATTATGAAGTAAGTAAATTCTAAGAGAATATCGACATCGAGCGAGCTGGGAGTACCCAATCAAATTCTCATACAAATGCTCAATCGAGCCTATTTATATTTTACGAGCCACTTGTGATTATATTTACATAACTTGAATAAAAATTAAGAAAAAAATAATTATGTAGGTACAATAAAAAACTGTTTTTTCTAAATACAAAAAAGATTGGTATTCTATTTTTAATTTTTATGACAAAAGCTAGTTATCAAAATATGAGTGAGTTATTAAACGAAATAAAAGAAAACCCTCCATTAACAAGAAAATTGAATAATTAAATTGAAGAATGAATGAATGAATGAAATAAAAATATAAACCCTAAAAAGAGAATATTGGTAATATCTTTTTTCAATTAGTAAAATATCTATAGGTATATGTATATTAAACAAAGTCGGGTTAGTTACAACTTAACCATTGATAACTCAAGAATGGCTGAACCGATGTTTATGATCTTTGATTTGTTTGATTTATCTCCATCCCGGAAAACTATTAAAACATGGGGAAAATACACGAAAAAAAAATTACATGGTTAACGCTGTATATTCTACACATACATATATACATATAATAAAAGTGTAGCTAATCGCTGTCTATACATGGGCGATATTTGAGAAAAAACTATTATTGAGGGTCTATATTAACACAATGATTTTTTGTCGTTAGTTTTTGTTGTTAGTTTAATCGATTTGGGTGCGGTTGTATTGTTTCAAGCTTCACTTAACATTTAGTATTTGTTTTATTTCAATCGATTCATAAATAAAAAAGTTATGTCAATTTAAAGAATCACATTATATGTACACATACCTTATATAATGCATTATTTGAAGTTTTAATTTCTCTATCAGTCTTAACATTTAAGTTGCAAAGAAATTCTAAGGATATAACAAGCTACTATTTTACATTTATTTTATTTTTATTTATTATAGGGAAGCAAAGATTATTAAAGAACATACAATTTACAAAAAAAAAAACACATTTACCAATTAAGTTTTCACAAATGAGAAACACAAATAAATAGAGTAGAAAACATTAGGCTAAATTATTAAGCAAAAAGCTATATATATATATATATATATATATATATATATATATATATATATATATACATATATACATACATAAGTTTACTATAAACACAATTAAAGTACATAAGAATATTATGAAAATTATTGGACTATGTTTATATGTAATTATTTATCTCATTTTAATAGTACATAGTTCCCATGGAGTATAGTATCTTATAATCCCCAGACGGGATAAGAAAGTGCAGAAAGAGTGTGTCGCCAAGTCAAAATTTTTAGTCATGTTATATTAAAATCCATATTTTTATTAACTCACCATCTGTTAAATAACACGTGTGTAATTAAATTTATTACTTATGTTCTCCAAATATTTATTCAATATCGCATTACTGTTTACGCTTTAAACTTATTTATTGTCTGGAAATTTTCAAAAGAATGTTTAAAATAAATAATTTATGGACGAAAACACATTTTTTATTTATTAATCTGAGTTCAATTTAACTTGTTCTCAAAATTGGCTTAATCTATCACCTGAATTTTAATTAGGGTAGGTGACATCACTAATCGAGATAATTTCATTTCAATAGTAACCTGTGACGTCACTCAAATGCCAAATCAGTTTATTATTGACTCCGAGACAATTAAAAAAAATATTTTTTACAGTTAATAGAAAAAAATCGACTTTTATCCGTATCTTTATATTATTATTTTAATATAAGCTAAGAATAAGAATTTCACTTTTATTTAAGTGTACTAGCGACTCACCCTCGCTCCGCTCGGGTTCGTTCCTAGTTACGTTATAACATTTAACAAAGATTTATCAGACAGACAGACAAACATCCTAAAAACTATAAATTCAGCCTCCGTATCAATAATAATGACTATTTCAATAAGATTTTGCAAAAAATATTTAATGTACAGATTCGACTCATTTAGAACTTACGTAAGGTGCGGTGG